ACCTGGGACCTCTGTTGTCAGTCTCCTCCAGAGGAGAGATTTTGATACATCAAGTTCAATACCAGGAGATGAATTCGAGGGCGGACGATCTGGACCTGCTGAAGTCCTCAGGTCAGTGGACTCTGTAAGAGGTCTAGAACCTGGAGGAGGCTGAGCATCCTGCTTTGATTAATATTTGTAAAAGTTCTAAAACCCCATAATGTAAAGTTTGTGCTGCATGGGAAGAAGAAAGGAAGAAAGGAGGGATGGTTCAACCGTTAATGGTTGCACTCACACTCAAAATGGCAAGAAAGGCAGCCGGGAGCTGGAAAATCATTTTTAGAAAACATAAATTGCAGCCACAAGGAAGTCTCTATCTATCCTCAAAGGCTGATCGCCAAAAGGGGTGTACCGACCCAGTGGCACTGGACCTCATTATCCTGAAACAGAAATCCTTTTTCTAAGACTGTTACAGTGACTATTTAAATATTCTAGCCTTTCTCTTCTTAAGAATAACTAGGCTGTGGATATTTAAGGCCCACGACATGACGCTGTGGGAAACACATAGGTGCTGTAAAAGTTGCTACACTGAGGCAAGTGAGCGTCTCCATCACCCCCGCAAGAATCCTGCCCACAGCGCGGTGTTACTGCTACAAGCTCCTCCATCCACTAACCCAACTCATCTTTGCATCCTCTCCCCTGTGTCTTTTCCTTCCAAGTTTTATCCACTCCCACTCCCTGTCATACTCGTCCTTGAATTTGATTTCTATTATATTTTTTTCTGAAGTCTCAAAGTTCAAGTTTTCCATACTCCATCCAATGAGATGCCATTGCAGCCCCCAAAGCCAACCTTATCTTTCATTCTAGATGAAATGTCCTAGTATTCACTCAGATTCTTCAGGCCATTGCTGCTCCTATGTCAGAACCATATTTAAGGATCAGTGCCAGTGCTGGGCCCTTAGCTCACACCCTTTACCTGCCTATTTGTGAGTGGTTTGTAGATGCTTAGAGAACTCCTGAGATACTTGAGGTTAGGGCTGGCATATATTCCCAGTAATTACCTTCTTCCTTCCAGAAAATTCCAATGATTTTAATGCTGATGGACTAACGTCTCTGTCTAAATATTTTCCTATTCCTGGATTTAAAAAGGGAGCAATTCAGAGGCACACTGAAAAGGAAAATGATAATTTATAACCCTCAGAGGTGAGTGAATCATTATTCAAAAGAGGCATACTCTTTTTGAGACAGACAACTCTTCTTGTGTTAGAGAGAAAAGGATGCATATACATATATGCTTCCAGATGAATATGCATTTGTGTATATAAGTACATGTCTATGTTCAGATATAGGCTAGTAAATTTAGTAAATAAATATGCTCACCCATCGATAAGATGTATGTGTGTGTCTGCTTATCAAGAACAATGATACATCTATAAGGCTAAGGAGAAACAGGGTAAATAAATACTTTGAAACATCACAGGGATCCTGTCAGGCAGTTATAACATACCTCTTATTCATGCTATGATAAAGATTGCACAAGACACTATAGATGACAGAAATTTCTTTTATTTATTTTTTATTTTACATTTCGATCCCAGTTCCCTCTCCCTCCTTCCCCTTCCTTCTCTCCTCTTCCCTCTGACTCCTTCTGCCCCCTCACATGCACCCTAACCACCCTCCCCTCCCATCCCCCTCACCCCAATTCCACATGTAGGGCAATGCCCTCCAGGTGGGGTCATGTAGATCTGACAGGCCATTTTAAGTAGGAACTAGGGCTTCTCTCTTGTCTCTAGGTTAAGGGAGTATCACTCCACGGGGGATGTGCCCTCAAGGTCCTTTTGTGCACCAGGAATACATCCTGGTTCCACTGTCTGAGGTCCCTTAGACTGCTCAGTCCTTCTGGCTGAGACCCATATTCAGGGGGGCCTGAGTCAGCCCCATGCCAGATTCCCATCAGCTCATCTAGAAAGTTTAGGGAGATTATAAAAGGACGTGATATTTAGGTTAAACTTTAATTATGATTGAAATATGAACCATTCTGGGGAAAGAGCATAATGTGTGCAGACTATGGAGGCATGGATGATAGCCACACCTTAAGGAAACAGGGTTCCACTGAAATGCACACAATACACATATTTATATCTATGCTTAAGTAAGACATGCTTGGACTCACACTTTACAATTACCATGCATGAAGAAGGTTCAACCAAAATTATAAAAGCTTAAGAAGTAAAAGGACAAGGAACTTTGTTAATTTACACATTTTTAAAAAGATGATAAAATGTACTTGTAGGTGCACTTTTCTGGGTTTTTATTTAGTAATTACACAATATAGTTTTATATAAATATTATAGATTATATATATAATATGGAAATATAAGTCAAGACAAAGAGTAGAAGGTAGAATTCTTGGAAAATCTATAAATATAAAGTGTTGGGCTGGGTTGTAGCTTGGAGGTAGAGTACTTGTCTAGTGTTTATCAGGCCCTGAGTTTAACCACCAACACTATAGCGAAAAGACAAACACTTATGCTGTGAAGTATTTATGACCACAAAATATAAGGAATTCATTGTGTATATATGTATATACATGAAGTTCTTAAAGTTTCTACATTGCATGAACAGTGATTGGTGTTAGTGTGTATTTATATACATTATACATACATATGTATACGTACATATATACACATGTGTGCATAATGTCTAAGGAACAGTTGACCAAAGCTACATAAAGGCATTTTGCACAAGATGAACTGAATCAAAAAATTTGAAGGCACCGGAGAGATTGTTCAGTAAATAAAGTGCCTGCCACATAACATTCAGACCCCCAGAACCCATATTAAAAAAATAATAAAAATAAATAAAGTATTACACTGTAAGCCCAGCACTGGAAGAGACAGGTGGATCCCTGAAGCTCACTGGCTAACCAGCCTAGCCTATCAATAAGCTTCAGGTTCAGTGAGAGACCATGCCTAAAAAAAAAAGTTGTAAAATGGAGAGAGCTGCACCTACATGTACACATCCATACCAGCAAGTGCTCACACAACTAATAAAAAGTAAGCAGATAAACAGAATAAAGAGAAAAGTTTTAAAGTTCAAATTGATTGGTATGTCTAGAGAATTCAAATTATAGTTTTTAATGAGATCTTACTTCATACAAATCAGACTAACAAACATTTAAAACAGCATCAGGACCTATCACTGATGAGAACTAAGAGAAAGGGGCAATTTAAACCACTGCTGCTAGAAGAGGCACAGTGGCCTCTAGAGAACACAATTTACCGACAGTAAAATAATAAGACCTTCATAAATCCTTTGGCTCAGCCAATGTCCCTGTAAGAATTCTTCCCTTACAAATAAAGTCACTAATGTAAGGACCTTCGTCAGGAGCTGTGTCTTTCACATTGTTGTTCATTACTAATGGCCAAAAATTAAAGATATCAACTGACAGCTGAAAGGTTGGGAAACCTCTGGTTTAATTCTAAAAAGGACAATCATGAACAAATGTAAACATGATTCTGTTCAAAAGACCATGTAACTTGCAACGTATAGTAAAATGTTCTTATCAATAACTGAAAACATTTCTGTGTGGGTAGAAATAGTTACAATTCTATCTACATTGTAGCCTTGGGATTCTGAAAAACTTCTGACTTACAACTTCCACTGTATTAACATTTCCTGAGGTGACAGGTCCTTAAACATCACAAAGGTGTGGCATTGGGAAATGACACCTTTTTTCTTTTCTTGGTTTTGTTTTGTATTGTTTTGCTTTTTAGGCAGGGTCTTGCACTGTAGCCCAGGCTAGCTTCACACTCACTACATAAACCAGGTTATCTTCAAACTCATGACAATCCTCCTGTCTTAGCCTTGTGAGTTCTAGATTCACAAATGAGTACCACTGCTCCTGACCTTTTGAGTGTTATTTCTTGATCTTACTGTCACAGCATGAAACAAAAGTACTTTTCACACACACGCAAAAGCTCAAAACTCTTTGCATTGAATCCTCTGCTCAACAAAGGCATCATGTTTCCTCATATAAATGAGTTTAGATAGATGGTATGATATGGTGCATTCTTCTATGGGAAGACAGAAATGACCTTTTTCTTCTTATGGGCTAGGTTGGCATTTAAGAAGCCTGGACATGACAGCCAGCTAAATGAAGCAAGAGCCCAGTCCTTGCACAGATGACCAGCTCTGCATCTCTATGTCATCCTGGTACTCTATGGGACTTACAGAAACCCTATTTGTGAACATGACCACTCAATAGATATGGGAAAGAATTAAATAAACAATATTGTTACTGATTTAATTTCATTTGTTTGTGTATTTGTTTGTTTTGCTTACTTATTTGAGATAGGGTCTTACTATGAACCCTGGCCAGCCTGGAGCTGGCTATATAAACCAGGCTGGCCTAGAACTCACAGGGATTTACTTGCCTCTGCCTTCCAAGAGCTGGGATTTAAAACATGTACCTCCACACCTAGTTTAACTTTTTTGTCTTGACTTTTTATAAATTCCTGGTTGGACTTTTCTGATTTTTTATAGTTTCGTGAATATAATATGTCTTTTCATCCAGCATGCTAATTTTCAAGTATTATACACTACCTTCTAGTTGATTTTAAGTAATAGCTTTCTTGTAACCAAATTAAAGAAGTCCTGACGAGAGATGCCAGTCTGTAAATATGTTTCTCTTATTGGTTAATGAATAAAGCACTGTTGGCCAATAGGAAAGCAAGATAGGGGGGACTAAGAGACTAGGAGGAGAGAGGAAGAAGTAGGGAGGAGTCAGCATGTACAGACTGGAGAGAACAGGGGTCTGGGCCCTCTCTCTGGTAAGATGAGACCATGTGGAAATACTTAGATTAATAGAAATGGGTCAATATTTGAGACAGAGCTAGTCGATAAGAAACTAGTAACTGGCCAACAGCTTTATATCTAATACAGAGTCTCTGTGTGTCATTTGGGGCTGATGCAGTAGTGGGTCCAGGCCAGCAGGGAAAACCTTACTCCTAACATAATGGCGTCCAACGTGGGGCCTGAACCCACGATCCTGGGATTAAGAGTCCCATGCTATACCGACTGAGCTAGCTGGGCTCTCTCTCCCGTAAGATAAGACCACATGGAAATATTTAGATTAATAGAAATGGGTTAATATTTAAGACAAAGCCAGCTGATAAGGAACTAGTAACTGGCCTACAGCTTTTTACATCAAATACAGCATCTCTGTGTGTTATTTGGGGCTGACACTGTGGTGGGGCCAGACTAGCAGGGAAAACATACACATAACTTTGGATTTTTTTAAATAGAGGGATACCGTCATCAAGTCCATACAGAAACTGTGGCTGCCTGTATGGGGTCTTTAAAAAGGAAGAACATGGAGGGAAGGGGAGGGATTTGAGAACAGCAGTGGGGACCCCTGAGGAGAGGGTTAGGAGTGGGCATAGGGAATTAGTGTGGTCACATGCATCACACTCAAGTATGATATGTCTATAAATGTAATTAATAAAAAATGGAAGGCAGCTGTACTGTGGTCATTACTTTTTGTTGCTACAACTCTGTTCACTGGCAGGAAATGCATAAAAGTACCTGTGGATGAAAAGGACTAAGTAGTTTAGTTCCTCAACCTTCAGGAAAGTATCATGGACACTAAAACCATGCATAAACTATGATGTTTCTATATAAATATAACTACTACAAAAGTCAGTTCACATATTACAAAAAATATTGTGATAATATTCACATGAATATAATGGTAAATATTAACATAAAGACAAAATACTTAATTCAATATTAAGCTTAGCATCTACAAACTGTTGGTTATCCTAGACTTTTATGCAGCTTATTTTTTAATTAATTATATTTAAAATTACAAACACATATTTATCACAGAAATATGATGTTTTGAAATAGCCATTTGAAGTGAGATGGCTAGATCAGTCTAATCAGTATATATTACTTTGCATGTGCTTCTCTGTCCTTAGAACATGTTAAAACCTACTTGCCATCCATTTTCAAGGCTCAATAAATTGTTACAAATCACAGCCACATGTTAAAAAAATGTATCTCTTGAATTCATTCCTCTTATCTAACTGAAATTTTGTGACTATTTACTGACATCCCATTCTGGCTAGTTTTATATCAGTTTGACACAAGCTACAATTATCAGAAGGAAGGAACCTCGATTGAGAAAATGCCTCCATAAGATCCAGCTTTTTCCTAATTAGTGATTGGAGAAGGATGGCCCCTCCCCCTTATTGATGTAGCTGTCCCTTAGCTGGTAGTCCTGGGTTCTATAAGAAAGCAGGTGGAGCAAGCCAGTAAACAGTGCACACATGCACACACACGCGCACACACACACATAACTCTTTGCCTCCAGAATCCTGTTTCAGTTCCTATCCTGACTTCCTTCAATGATGAACAGTGATGTGGAAGTGTGAGCCCAATACATCCTTTCCCTCCCCAACTTGCTCTTTAGTCATGGATGTAGCTGACTTCCTTGGGTTGGTGTTTTCCTTCTGCTACTTTCTGTAGGTCTGGGTTTGTGGATAGGTTTTGATTAAATTTGTTTTTTTTTTTTTTCAAACATCTTGTTTTCTCCATCTATGGTTATTGAAAGCTTTGCTGGGTAAAGTAGTCTGGGCTGGCATCCGTGATTCCTTAATGTCTGCATAACATCTGTCCAGGACCTTCTGGTTTTCATTGCTTCTGTTGAAAAGTCGGGTGTAGTTCTGATAGTCCAGCCTCTTTATGTTACCTGGCCTTTCTCCTTTGCGGCTCTTAATATTTTCTTTATTCTACATGTTTATTGTTTTGATTACTATATGGTGAGGGGCTTTTTTTGGGGGGTCCAGTCTATTTGGTGTTCTGTAAGCCTCTTGTATCTTCAAAAGCATGTCCTTCTTTAGATTGGGAAAGTTTTCTTCTATAATTTTTTTGAATATATTTTCTGTGTCTTCAAGTTGGACTTCTTCTATCCCTACTATATTTAAATTCAGTCTTTTCACGGTGTCCCAGATTTCCTACATGTTTTGTGTTAAGAATTTGTTGGATTTAAATTTTTCTTTGACCGATGAATTATTTCCTCTATCATATCTTCATTGCCTGAAATTCTGTCTTCTGTCTCTTGTATTCTACTGTTTATGCTTGTGTTTGTGGTTCCTTATCATTTACCCAGATTTTCCATTTCAAGATTCCCTCAGTTTGTATTTTCTTTATTGCCTCTATTTCAGATTTCAAGTCTTGAATGTTTCCTTCACTTGTTTGATATATTTTTCTTGGTTTTAAGGGATTTGTCAATTTCTTCCAATTTTTTGTTTGACTTTTCCTCCATTTCTTTAAGGGAATTTTTCATTTCCTCTTTAAAGGCCTCAATCACCCTCATGAAGTTATTTTGGGTCATTTTCTCCTACTTCATCTATGTTGGTATATTCAAGTCTTGCTGTTGTAGCACCATGTTTCTAGTGGTGCCATATTGTTGTATGTGTTCTTATCTTGTCTATGCATCTCTCCCTCTAATCACTATAGGTAGAACTTGTGCTTCAGGGATCCCCTCTTTCTCCTATTGGTGTAGTTTTGGGCTGTGACTCTGTTGACTCCTCCTTCCATACACAAGCAGAGGAGAGACTCTGGTGAAGGCTCCTCCTGGTGGAAGTGGGTCCAAGGCTCAGGCAGTCAATCCTTGAGATGCAGGTGGATGCTCCTCCCATTGGAGGTGGGGCCATGGCTCTAGGGACTTCAACTCTAGATGTAGGTAGGACTGAGGGTCCAGTGGTTGATGTAAAAGCATGTTACCTACAACTGAGAAATGACAGTGGATGCTCGCTGGGACACAGGTGCTCTTTCCCAGAGGAATTACTTGTGATAGTTTCTGGAAGATACTTCTGGAAACTGCTGCTGTTGTCTCACCTGGCAGTCGCTCCCTGCCCCTGGGGCTGAGGCTCCGGCCTCCCTCTGATGCTGTTCCCAGGCTGGCGTTTGGGTCTCCCTCTGATGCTGCTTCCCTCCAACACTGGTAACCATCATTCTTCTCTATTCTGAGTTCAATATTTTTATATCCCCGTGTATATGAGACTGTGTTTGATCTAGTAATCAAATATGGTGATGTAACAGAGTCAATAAAACAAAACATTTAGGGTGCTCATTCTTAAGTGTCTGGGGTGAATTACATGGCAACCAAAGCATCCAAGCCTAGCAAGGTGGCTTGATGCTCCCTGATCTCCCCTGCACAGCTAATGCAGGAGTTGGCCTGCTTTCACAGCCCCTTCTCTATGGTCCCTTTGGGCTTCTGCTTTCACTGTCTGGAATTAAGCACATCCAGTCTAACTTCATCTAACCTAAAATACAAATAAAAGTACAGCTATTATAGCTATCTTACAATTAATGGATTTCCCAGAGGCAGTATTATTGTCAAATATACCATATACATTTACATGGGAATTCCTGTAAAACTGCGTAAAGAAAAAGAACTTTGCCTCTATGCAGCTCTAAGAATTAATCTTCCCGTTTGTTTCCAATGTCGGCGTTATAAAATGTGAATTTTCTCTGTCAGGTCCAGCTTCCTTGTTACCCTAGAATGCGCTTTCACTTTTGGCTTGTGTCTTGCCTCTGCCTATCTCCACTCATTCTCCCAGACACATGGAGCATGAGGTTTCCTAAACGCAGAGCTGGGAGCAGACTACAAAGATGGAGAAAGGGGCAGTGGGCAACGGGGCTGAAGAAAAGTGGGTGGTTTTGGCAAACCATCAGAACTCAATGAGCAGTATTCATTACTCTAGCCAATGCAAGGGATTGCTTTGTTTGAACAATCAGTCGCCGCCTCTTGGCAGAACTGGGGAAGAACACGGTGTTCATTCTTCTATTGTCAGACAAAGCAACAGACCTGCTACGCATCTTTCAGTAAGTAGATGATAAGTGAAATGACAAAGGGAGGGGATGAAGTCAGGGGTGGGGGGAGTCAGTAGCAGGGCGTGTGAACCAAACACAGAGGAACAAGGTGCCTGTAAAAAGTTAAACTACCACAGCCACAAAATCTGGTCAAGGTGTGGTTTCCCCCATCACCATCTCCTGGGCTCCCTTCACTCCTGAGGTGACCTGGCAAAGCTGTCAGGATAGTGTAGGTCTCTTTCCAAGAAACAAAAGCCCCCTGGATGGCACCAGGGCCTCAGCCTTTTTCTATCCCCAGCATGAGACTCTTGGCAGAAATGAAAATATTCTCAAGAGACACATGTGCCCCCCCCCTTTTGGCCCTGAGACTATTGAAGCAATGAATCTCCCAGTCTCATACTGGGAGAAGGAAAAGATTGGAATCCTGGTGCTGGCCAGAGGAGGACCTTGTACACCAGCAAGAGATTTCACTATTCTGACACCCATCAGAGCCACCTGATAGCCCTGATTTGAGGCCGTGGGCTGTGTAAGGAAAAGCAGGCTGGGAAAGCCGTTGAGAACAAGCTCCAGGTGCTGCAGTTTTGTTTTGTTTGTTTTTTTACATGTCGATCTCAGTTCCCTCTCCTTCCCTCATTCCCTCCCTCCCTTTTACCCTCTCTGCCCTCTCACATGTACCCTGACCACCCTCCCCTCCCATCCCCCCACCCCAATTCCGCATGTAGGGCAATGCCATCCAGGTGGGGTCATGTAGATCTGACAGGCCATTTGAAGTAGGGACTAGGACTTCTCTCCTGTCTCTAGATTAAGACAGTTATCCCTCCATGGGGGATGTATTCGCAAGGTCCTTTTGTGCACCAGGAATACATCCTGGTTCCACTGTCTGAGGTCCCTTAGACTGCTCAGTCCTTCTATCTGAGACCCATATTCAGGGGGGCCTGAGTCAGTCCCATGCTGGCTTCCCAGCTATCAGTCTGGGGCGGGGGCACGCTAGCTCCTCCTTGTTCAGGTCAGCTGTCTCTGTGTGTTTCTGCAACCTGGTCTTGTCCTCTCCATCTGCATCTGGGTTCTAGTTTGACTCAGTGTTTACATATGGGTGTTTGCTTCTGTTTCAAACAGGTATTAGATGAGGGCTCCATGGAGAAGTTAGTTGTTGATCTCACTATCCGGGAAGGGCATTTATGGTAGCCTTTCCACAGATGCTCAAATTGTTA